ATACTAGAAACACGTTCAAAGATTCTTCTTCCGTAGACATGGTCCACAGGTAACTACTGCTCTTGCTTTCCCCCTTTACATGGGAAGATCACAGAGCTACCTTTCCCACATTGTGACGTACTGAGTAACACTCAAGTGGACGCATAATTAGCATCTCAGTGCTCTAAATTTAGAAAGTGCTATTGTTCTCTTTTCTTTTAAATTTAAAAGCAAAAAACTTGAAGTTCTCAATAGAAGATTAGTACTTAAACTTTACAAAACATATACTGAGCACTTAACCTATTATTATTACATACCACTTTCAGTTGGGCTTGAGAATAAATATGTTGGCCATTTTGATTGATATGTGCCAGGGCAGTGATCTAAAAGTAACCAAAAAACCCATTTATCCAAAATAACTCCTTTAACAGTCAACCCTAGTACAAAACTTTTATATCACTCATTCACTCATACATCCATTTATTTATTCATTCAGTAATATTTGCTGTGTGCTCTGTATGGTGCTAGACAATGAGGAGAGAAGTCTAAATAAGGCACTCTACTCCTGATGCAGAGAAGCTCACAGACTTGTTAGAGAAAGAGATGAATAAATTGTCAATTATAATATAATGTAACAAGTGCTATGATAGAAGTATAAAGCTATAAAGTAACATATCATATGTTGTGTATTTCAGGGGTTATATTGCCTATCTCTCCATTGGATGAATTTTGCTGAAGAAAGGGACCCTGTCTTTTTATTTACTTTCATTTACATTGTATATGACACTATTTACTTCTTCTTCATCTTAACAGTAGTTTTTCTTAAGTTTCCTGCTTCTTGCTTTACCCAACCACCATATCACACCTAATGCCTTCAGTCATGAAATTCCATAATCTCATGTTTCAACTTCCAAAGACACACAATGCAAGTGCCCTGGGCTGTTCTATATGATGCTCAGGAAGTTCTCTGAAATTTACCTCAAAACAAGTATTTATCAATTGGTGAACTTCAGCTCCCAATCTAAATTAAGCATGCAGGACCAGATTTACCTTCTTGCCTGAAATAATTAAAAAAAAATAATTAAAAACAATTTTTAAAAGCGTTCAAGATACTGGACATCAGCCATTAAAGAATAATGATCCCTAAATAAGGCAAGCCATCTGATTGCACCAACTTAATGTTATGAAAAGCTTCTAAGTGTGATGCCCAGTAAATGAACCTAGATAGAGTTGGAAAGACTCCCTGAGTTGAGGATATAGAGCTGAGAATGTGAAGAGAATGAAGTGACTAGCGTTCACACTGAGCCCTATAGAGGGGAAAATCTAGAGCGATAACTCTGAAGTACTGCAGAGTGTTCCCCTTGATTATTCAGTTGAAATACTTACCAGTTCTTCTGTATGAGGAAATTACCCAAAGCCAAGAGAACCGCTTAAATGGATTAGAGGTAACAGTGCTAGCACCCCCACAGAGCTGAGACTAGTGCCCCTTCCCACTGCCCAAAATATTCTACCAGTAGAAAACTTCATGATTCACGAAGAATTTGGTAGAACACAGAAGAATCTTGACTCAGTATTGAGTAGTAATCCTTGTATAATACAGTGTTGGGAAAAATTGGCCTTACATTGAGCCCTGCTTCAATCCCACTAACAAATCTTAAAAGCAAAACCCAAAAGGATCAAACTATTTCTGATAACACTGAGTTCCAGAACAAAGCTCAAGAATATTTAAAGGAATGCGAATAACCCCAGCAGCCAGTGAGATAAAATTTAAAATTTCTGGCATCCAATCAAAAATTACCAGGCATGTAAAGCAGTAGAAAAGATATAAGCCATAATTAAGACCAATCAATGGACACTAACCCAGAACTAACACATATATTATAATTATCAGACAGGTACATTAAAACATTCAAGAAGTAGAGATATGGGCAATATTAAAAGAAAACGCAAATAGAAATTCAAGGTATAAAAACCACAAAGTCTGATTTGAAAAATATATTAGATAGGATTAACAACAACAAAAAAGTAAGAGTAATCCAAAGAAGGCAGAAAAATAAGAGGAAAGGAGAGCAAAGTACAGAAGAAATGCACAGAAAACAAATAAGATGATAAACTCAAAGTTCGATCACATCAATAATCACATAAAATGTAAACGGTCTACATATTCCAATTAAAAACACATATTACGGTACTCGCCTCCTCCCACAACCACATCAAAATTACAACTAAATTACAAAACAACCATCATTCAGAAACACCTGAACCCAAGCTGAATAGAAGTTCTACAGCCAGGGAATTAAAGAAGCCACACTGAGACTGGTGGTAGGAGCAGGGATGCTGAATGGGCTGGTCTCACACCCATGTGTGGTGGGTAAAAATCAGGAGGGATATCTTGGCTCTGGAGGTCCCCTCTGAGGAGTGAGGGGCTCCAGGCTCACACAAGGCCCCCGGTTCAGAGTTCCAGTGCCTGCAAGTGAAGTCCCCATACTGTCAGGCTGTAAAAGCCGGCAGGGAGTATGACTGAGTGAGACAGAGGCTGCTGGAATACCAGGCTAACATCATGGTGAAAAACTCACTACTAACATACTAGTGAGCAACTCAATACTTTCTACTTAGAGCAGGAACACAAGGTCTTCTTTCATTCAACATTACATTGAAGGCTCTAGCTAGTGCAATAGGCAAGGAAATAAAATATTGGAAAGGAAGAAGTAAACTGTTTATTCACAGACAATATGACCTATGTAGATAGAATATGACGGAAACTATAAAAAGGCTACTAGAACTAATAAATGAGTTTAGAAAGATTGCAGGATAAAAGATCAATATACAACTATCAAATGTATTTATATACACTAGTGCCCAGCAAGCAGAAGTTCAAATTTTTAGAAAAGCAATGCAATATACAATAGCCTAGAATATTTAATAACTACTTAATAGGTGTTGGGCTCTATGTTATAGTGACAAACAGGGCCATGGCTTTCACAAAACAAACATAACAACAGGTAATACACTCTGATAAGTAGAGGAACAGAAGAGGAAATTCAGCCAATTATTATTAACTTTCTCCTGTTAGAAAACCTGTTCTCCCCTTGTCTGAGAAGGACCCATAAATAATCTAAAAATTCTGTAAACTAGATCAGCACAAGCAGGATTCCTAATGCTATTAGAACAGCACTTTTCCTGATGTCCATGTGCCTTGTAGTTAAGAGGATAAGTCATTCCTAATTTGTATTTGTCTAATACACCAGTTCTCTGGCCCAGAGAGGGGGTAAAATGTCTGTTCTAAAAGATTTCAGCTGCCCATTCCTCTCTGCATGTGTACCAACTGGCAGAAGCTGAGAACTTAAAAGTATACTGAGCCCCTCAATAGCTGAGACGCCATTAATCCAATAGTGCTGGCCCAGAATCCAATCAAGTTTGTAAGTAAAATATTTCAAATTCTTTGGCGGGGGGAGGGGGGGAACAACCCCAAATCTTTAACACTCATTTATAAGCACAATTTTGGAATTATTCTTGTGCTCAGTTAAGGCAGTTTTTCTAAAGGTTTCTACTAACTTGGCTGAACAAATTAGTTTTATTGAGCTTTTTACTGAAACCTTGAGCATAATGATGCATAAGTATTACAGTAAAGTTTCTGTCAGGCTCTACCTTTTAAAGCTATCAGATATCAAAATACATCACACCCAAACCTGAGACCACACATAATTTAAATGTTTGTTACACACTGGTATGTACAAAGCAAGCGGGATTCCCTGAGTGAAAGGTAGGACCCACTAGCAAGATGTCACTGATGTCCCCTGGAGGAGAAGAGAGAGAGTATACGTGGGCATAAGTGTTTATATGTATTTCTTCTTTCCCATGATATTTTTGAATGATGCCCAGCAAACTAAGTTCTGGGGGTGGTGGGAAGACAGAGGGACAGAGGGGCTGGATGTGTTACCTCACATGTAATTATGGGGGTGAGCAGAAGTGAATGTAGAGCTTTTGCTAGTCTGATTTTCACCTTGGGGGAGCTGCTGGGGTGGTTGCCAGTCTCCATCTTGACAGGTGTTGAAAGATTTAGCCAAGTGCCATTGTGCTGGTGTGATTAATTCTGTGTTGCTACAATAAGTAGAGAGAGACATGCTAACAAATCAAACAGCATGTTGTGATACAGACAAAAATAAACATATATAAGTTTCAAAAAAAATTACAAAGGAAAGCATCCTGTCTGGAGCATAATGGGGAAGTGATGCTCTATCAGGGTTGTGATGGAAACTGGGCATTTCCCAGATGGACAAGGGGAAGAAGAAAACAAAGGGCCTACACTCTAAGGAAAGGGCAGCATGAAATGGTATGAAATCAATGGGAAGCAGTGAACAGCGTGGTCGTGCTGGCATGCAAATGAAAGGGGAGAGTGGCAGATGATGACACTGAGAAGTATGCATCTTACAGCCGTGCCAAAGTGCACTTTATCCATAAGGAATGCAGCCCTCTTGAAAGATCCCAAGTGTAGAAGGGATGTGGTCTGATTTGCCTTGAAGAGGATTGACATTGCGGTTGAAGGCACAGGGTAGAGGTAAGTCAGCTGGAAAGCTTCCAGGAGCGCATGTCCACAAGGAGCACTAACAGGGTGAAGATGAGAGCACAGAAGGGGTAGAGGAAGCTGTGTACCAGAGAATGGTGCCAGGTTCCACTGGGGTGACCTGGATCAGCTCTGGCCTGATGCTAGCCACTCCCACGCAGCTCCTTTCTTTCTAATCCACTTCTCATTCTCTTCGGGAAGGATTGAGGTCTCTGGAAAATTGCCCAAAAACCTGTTATGGGAACAGCAAGCCCAAGTAACGCTCACGCATTAGGAGGATCTGAGTGCTGAAAGCCACCTCTGTTTTCCTTCCCTCGGCTACGGGGGGCAGAAGAGGGTTCTCAAAGCCGCAACTCCTTTTAGGAGGATTGAGAAGACATATAAAGGGCCCTGGCTGAGGACTCGCTTCCTCATTCCACAGTTGGTGCCAGAACTCTCAGTCCTCCACTGAGAGGAAATGTCCATCCAGTGAGTATCTCTGGGAGATTTCTTTTAAATGCCTTGGTGGGTTGATGGTAAATAGGCTATTTCACGAGCTCCTGAAGAGGATTGATGTCCTGTTTAGGGAAGGCCTGGGTCTTGTTGAGGGAGTTTGTTCCTATTTATATATTGAAGCAAATATCGAGAATTCAAGTGGAATCTATGTGACTTAGAATGGACCTCAGAAGCAGCTGTGAGCATGAGGACTTCAATAAGGCAGACCTGGGTTCCACATCTCACTCAACCACTTCCCATCTGTATGATTTGGGGCAAATTACTTAACATTTTAAAGTCTAGGTTTCTCCATATATAAGATGAATGTAATAATAGTACTTACCCCATTGTGTTGTTCTAAGATTTAAATGTGTTAATAACATACAAAGTTGTTTTTAATGATGCATGGCATATAGTAAGTGCTTAATAAAAGATAACTATCATTAGTTATTAGGGAGCTGGTCAGATCTCCCACTCTAAGAAGTTATACAATGGAGCCAAAGTGAGGAGGCAGAAAATAAGCAAAAATATAAAACTGACTATTTATTTAAAAGTACTTGAGTATTTTTTTTAATGTTTTTGGAGAGGAGTGAGGCTCTGAGATGACAGTAAGAGATGTTAGTATAATACAGGTGAAGAACAAAGGATGAGGTACTGACCCAAAAAGCTGTCTTCTCTAAACTTATAGGAGGGAGAGGGATGAGACTGTCTGTAAGGCAGGAGTACCTGATAGAGTAAGCTGAGAGTATCAACTGGTCAGTGTAATTGCATGGGATAGACTCTGTTAGGAAGAGAAGTGACAGCAGCAGGTTTGGTTGATTTATCTTCAGAACTATGGGAAAACTGCAGGGGGCAGGACTAAGTCCACTGTGACATTAAAAAGGTCAATTCTCCTGACATTAAAGAAGGAGTGCTGACCTGGGCCCCTCTTGCAAACCTGAGCATGTTTTTAACCCCCAAGCACCATGTGCTCCCTTGGCAGAAGCTGGACTGGTAGGGTGACTTGGCCTTGAGCCAGAAAGTATCGTTTGTCCCTAACCCTGGTACTGCCTCCATGGACTCCTGTGAGTATTCACATGGGCTTCTCCCTTGGGATTCCACATTTCAGAGTCGAGCATCCTGCTGGTGGTTACAAGAAACTGTATGAAACTGTGGAGGAACTCTCCTCGCCAGTCACAGCTCATGTTACAGGTGGGTCTCACTGATCTTGGAGACGTCCTCTCTTTGTCTTCAAGATCTCTCTTCTCTTCCTTCTTATTCATTGGCACCTCTCCTTACTGGCTCCCCTCAGGGCTACAGAAGGGAATCTGGAGGTTCAAGAATTCTTTACCCAGAATCCAGTTCTTCTCATTTACCTTTTAGTTATTTCTCTAATGTAGAAAAAATGCTACCTAACTGGAATTCCTTGAGGATTAGGACTACACCTTTGTCATTTTTAAATCATCAGTGCCTAGCTCAGTGCCTGGCAGATAGTAAAGGCCCTGAAATATCTGCTCTGTCAGTGTCTGGATAAATGAGGACCTGCTGACCAGCATCCGGAAATACTACATTAACAGGTGGTAGGTTTTATGTATATTATATCAGAAGAGTCTTGGTTCTGGAGTCAGGCAAATATAGGCACTAATGGCAGCGCTTTCATTTTAGTAGCTGTGGATCCTACAGGTTACTTAAACTTTCTGAGCCTCAATTCTCTCACTGACCAAAGACCAAATTTTACCTCATGGGGATGTTGTAAAGATGAAATGAGCTAATGTAAATAGAAAGATCCACCCAGTATCTGAGACAGAGTGATCAACAGGTGGTAGGTAGTACTGTTGTTATCACTATCTAAAGATATTATATAACCCATAGAGCATACTTGCTTGGACATGGTGTCATGGGAAGGGCCAAAGCTTGGGCAAGTCTCTTTTCTCCCAGTTTCCTCTTCTGTAAATTAGAAGGAATGAGCCAAACACTCTAAACTAGATTCTGATGCTAACAATCTAGGTTCTGGCAATTATATTAATGCTGTGCCTTTTAGTTGAGCTACACCTTCTTAAAAATTTTACCAGAAATATAAATCTTTATCAAATAGGTTGCTAAGACTGAGCTGCAGAAAATAATTTGTTTGCTAAAAAATAAAAAATAAAAAATAAAAGCATTGGTAAGGATTAAGCAAGCATTTCCAAACACTGCACTTTTCAAGGGCTAAAAGGGCACAAGTGTAATTGGTTAAACTGAAAGGCCTTAAGGTCTTTGTTGTGTGCCCCTGGTGTGCAGAGGAGAACACCAAGGCCTGGAGATGTCACCTGGCAAATCCTGAACCAGAATCCAGGTCCCTAACCCCCAGCCTTGTGCAATTTCTGCTACAACAGGTTGGCCTTCACCTAGACAGTAGCACATACCCTCGAAAGAATATAGCTCTAGGTTTTAAAAGGCCAATATTCTTGTTGTAGCATTTAAATGATTTTTTTCTATAGGCCCATCATTTTTAGTGTTTTGATCTCTGCTCTTAATCCATCTTTCCTACCCCCACTATATCAAATTATATCAAGAAATTTGAAATTCTTAAAAATAAGATGTTGGAAAAAGGTAAATGTATTGGTATCTGGGGAAATCTGTTAGGTAGAGATTCCCATTTCCCTCAAGATGCTTTTCCAGGTCTCCTTCCAACCAGTTACCCAAACTCTGAGGTGTTGCCACATTCTCTCCTACTTGATCTCCTAGAGAAAAAAGAATTGATCCACAGGCATTTCCTACGTGCTGCCCAGCTGTAGAGCTGGGAATGAAAATCACTGCCAGCTTTATAAACAATCACTGCCCAATGAGGCTGCTAATATAATCCCTGTGCCTGACCAGGGACAATCCAACCAAGGGCAGGAGAAAGAAGCAATGTTCTGTGTCTCACATTTGTCACAGGCAGGATCCCCTTCTGGCTCACCGGCAGCCTCCTTCGATGCGGGCCTGGACTCTTTGAAGTTGGATCTGAGCCATTTTACCACCTGTTTGATGGGCAAGCCCTCCTGCACAAGTTTGACTTTAAAGAGGGACATGTCACGTACCACAGAAGGTAAAGAAATGCTAGGCCCCACTCCCCCTACTAAGGGTGGGGCCTAGCTCAGCTCCCCCTTCCTTGGGCTTTTCAACCTCCTAAACCCAAAAGGGGACTTCTATACTCACTTTCTCTCAGACTCCACTTGGGCCAATGCATCTGCATGGACACCTGGGAGCTCTGCGATAGGATAAAGAAGAAACTAAGAACTAGCCTTTGGGGTTCAACATGTCTGGCTTCAAATCCTATATCTACCTTTTACAGACATTGGAAAGATGTTAATATCTAACTCTTGGTTTTGTCATCTCTAAAATGGGAGATCATGGAATCTACTTCAGGGTTCATTACAAGGAGTAAAGAAGAACACAGTGCCTAGCACATAGGAATATTCAGTAATAATATTATTATAGTTATTATTATTAGAACATCGGCTCTCTTTACTCCCCCCTTTTTTATCATCAAAAAGGCCACAGGGAAGGAGAGAGGGGTTTCACAAAGGAGGTAAGGACCAAATATCTGGTGATGATACAAAAAAGATAAGTTTTCTAAAATTAGGAGATTGTTGCTTAAAAGGCTTGATGGCCTAAGCCAGGGGTGGGGAACCTTTTTCCTGCCAAGGGCCATTTAGATATTTATAACATCATTTATAGCCTATACAAAAACCATCAATTTAAAAATTAGCCTGCAGAGGCAGCTGATCAATAATTCTCTCTCATTGATGTTTCTCTCTCTCTCTCCCTCTCCTTTCCTCTCTGAAATCAATTTAAAAAGTATATTTTTTAAAATTAACCTGCTATTTTTGGACAAACATTTAATTAACTCATCCCTAATGCCTTGGCAGAACCAGACCAAATGACTTCATGGAGCTTATATAGCCCATGGGCCAGACGTTCCCACCCCTGGCCTAAGCCATCACTCCAGGAAGCACCCATTAACACCACAACAAGTAATTTGTCTTATGCTTTAATATTCTCACCTGTTAGTGGCTTTGTTGATAATCACAGACATCAGGCATTCTAAAGAGACATCAAAAGGGAGAGTAAATGGAGGTTTTAAGTAGTCAGGATGACTTGGACTATAATAAAAGAGAAACTGATCAGGTCAAGCAAAATTTATCTATGAAAAAGCCTGCTTTGGAGGTAGACAAAGCTTTCATGTGCCTTCTAAAGACCTTGGTATTTTTTTCCTCTTCATGACTGTGTTTCTTCATCTATGCAATTCTAAACACTTACTATATGGATTGGAGGAAGGGTAAAATTAGATTTCCATTGGCTCTCCACATGGGAAATCCTAGGCACTGTATGCCATCTAGTCTGGGATATGGTTCAGGTAGTCTGCCTGTGCAAGAGACTGGATTGAAGAGATCCCAAATTTTAAAAGTAGCAAAATAAACTTTAAAATCAAAGAAAAACACAAGCGGGACAAGAAATAGTTTGAAAGGAATATAATTCAGCATACCATGCCCTGTCTTTCCCACTGAGTGTAGGTTGATGGGTTATAGGCTACAGGACATCATAGGTCTTATGTCAACTACCATGGGGGCTGCGTGATGTGATAAGGAAAATGCATGTTTTTCATATCTGGCCAACTTGAATTGTAACCCAGCTCTGCCACAAATGCCAATCACTTAACTTCTCTGAACTGTGAGTTCTGCATCTGTCACTGTGAGATTTGTAAGGCATACACGTAAGCTCATGGCACCCTTTGGTCCCTAGGAGAAAGTGACCTGACAATACTCTTCATTCTTTATGTTGTGGATTTATTATTCTGACTCCATAAGGACAGAATGACCATTCTAAGATCCACCTGGACCACACTGTCCCTGTCTATGACCCTTTCCCATGTTTTAATGTCCTTCAGGTTCATCCGCACTGATGCTTATGTGCGGGCAATGACTGAGAAAAGGATCGTCATAACAGAATTTGGCACCTGTGCTTTCCCAGATCCCTGCAAGAATATATTTTCCAGGTTAGTGACACCTAACTGCATGTTATTAAAGACTTTACACTAGCCCCTTTTCTCTCATTGTTTAAAAGTTACTAGACCAAAAATATCATTTGCTTCTGCAGGTTTTTTTCTTACTTTCGAGGAGTAGAGATAACTGACAATGCCCTGGTTAATATCTACCCAGTGGGGGAAGATTACTATGCCTGCACAGAGACCAACTTCATCACAAAGATTAATCCTGAGACCTTGGAGACAATTAAGCAGGTAGGATACAGTGTTCAGGCAACACTGCCCAAGAATTTAGAATTGCAGCTTAGAATTAAAATTAAATCAATTTGGTAGAAAGAACTTGAGAGCTTGCCTGGCTGGTGTGGCTCGGTGGTTGGGTGTCGACCTATGAACCAGGAGGTCATGGTTCAATTCCTGGTCAGAGCATATGCCTGGGCTTTGGGCTCGATCCCCAGTAGGGGCTGTGTAGGAGGCAGCCAATCAATGATTCTCTCTCATCATTGATGTTTCTATCTCTCTCTCCCTCTCTGAAATCAATAAAAAAAATTTTTTTAAAGAAAGAAAGTCAGACAAATTTTCAAATTCTTGCTTTGTCATCAACTACTAGCTATGTGACATAGGGCAAACTTTTATTTCTTCATCTATGACATTTGAAAAACTTACTATATGGGTTGAAATAAAACTGTATAAAATGCCAAGCATTCACTCATTCATTTGTGGGACACTATTTTTCAGTCCCTGACATGTACCAGAACATATGCTGGGTGCAGATACATCAATGTGTGAAACAGCATGGTCCCTGCCCTTACTGGCTTTTATAGGCTAGCATGAACCTGGCACCCAATATTGGGTATTGGGTGTTCAAAAAAATTATAGCTATTAATGTTGAAAACCCTGCTATTCATGATTCTAGACAAGTATGTTGCATCTATTTGCCCCTTATAGATACTTCTTATTAGAAATTAAGATATTTTTTAAATGAAATAGCGTAGAGAAAATGATCAGCAATAGTAGAGACAAATTTTGCTGACAACTTAGACAATCTCCATGCAGCATTCAATGAAATGGATACACATTTTCAACCAATATTTATTAAGATGTAACTATTTGAAGGCATTGTACTTGTCTTTAGAAAGTTTAACATCTTGTTGGAGAAATCAAACAAATATGCAACTTAACTCTAATAGGGACACATAATGTGATGAGTCCTTTAGGAGAAGGAAAACCTTCCATGAAAGCAGGAAGAAGAAAGAGATTACTTCTGGCAGTAGTTGGAGGATATAAGGTGATGCAGATTAAGGAAGATTAAAAAGGCTTGCATTTGAGCTAGAAGTTAAAAGGGAGAAACTTCAATGAATTTGGGAAAAGAACATTTCAGGTAAAGGGAGTAACATAATCAAAGGCATAGTGGTGGGAAAAGAAAAGATATGTTCATGGAAATGAAAGAATAATTAATTTGACTAGATTGGCAGTATTTCTCAATGGAGAAGCTAGTGGCATTGAGTGGGAGATAATTCATTGTTGTGGGGATTGTCCCCACACATGCAAAAGGTTTGGCATTCCTGGTCCCATCCACTGAATAACAGTCATGTCCTGAATCAATGGGAAAACCCAAATGTACCTCAACATTTGCATTCTCCCCCTGGGGGCAATATCACTTTCAGTTAAGAACTAGTGAAGAGCATGCAATGTCAAGGGTAGGGTGAAACTAAAAGTTTGAATAATGGACAAAAATATGTAGTAAGTTATGAAGCTACTGAAAGTTTTCACACAGAGAAGTGATATATGCAGACCTGTGTTTTGGGACATTTAATCTGCCATGTATATGGGAGGGCAAGAAAGATAAGGGAGCTAGGAGACCAGTTAGGTGGAATTCAAGACCAGAAATTTAGTGGGAAAAATAGTTCCAACCCTGGATCTCATTGTCACAAGCTGATTAATAACTCCCAACAGACTATTTACAAAGGCTTAACATACTCTCTATGGCTCTTTCTTGTTTTTGATGTATGTTTGTAATCACCTGTGTGTAGATCACTTAGAGAAGAACTGGAGGGGACTCTGATAGTGAATCTGTATTCCAACTGTCATGGTCATTTAACTGGAAATATAAAGTTCATGATATGGCTCCAGAATAGACTTTATTAGAGGTCAGGTTCCACTGTGAATAGTGTTGTATCCTGACTTCATGTAAAAATTTAAGTTTTAGGAGTTGAAGTTTTGTTTACTATTACTGAAATAGCCTCCTAATCAGTGCCTTTGCTTCCTGCCGGATTTCTTATGGTAATACAACTTCCTTACTTCAGTAGAAGCAATTTTTTTTTCTAAAATTCAAGTATGAATGTGTTACTCCATCTAGGGCACCCATAGTTTCCAAGATAAAATCCAAACAAGGGCCTTTGTGGCTGGCCCATGCTGATTTCCCCTCCTCCATTCATGCCCTTCATGACTGTGTTTTGAATGATTAGAAGTCCCCAAAAATCACATGCTGTTTCACACCTCTGGGCCTGCACATTGGGGTTCCTGCTCCATGGAACACACTGTCATCCTTGTCCACCTGAATCACTTGTATTCATTTTTCAAGAATTAGTTGGAAGCCCTGCCTAACCTCCTGGTCTGGCTGGGCCAGATGGCCTTTCTCCACAGGTGCCATTTTAGACTTACAGCACTGTCTGTATGCCAGCTTATTGTCCCAACACAGTGCTGTCAAATAGAACTTTCTACAGTGAAGGCGAATTCTGTGTCTGCATTGTCCAAGTGCTACTGTGCACTTGAAATGTGGCTAATGTGACTGAGGAACTGAATTTGAAGTTTTATCTACTTATAATTAATTTATATTTACATTATTACATGTGGCTACAATATTGAACAGCAAAAGTCTAGACTGAAATCCTTGAAAGCATGGACCACCTCTGTTTTTTTTAGATCCTGGCACGGTGCCTGGTATATAAGAGAAGCTCAAAGAGTATTTAATGAATGGTGAATGAATGAATGAATGAATGAATGAATGAATTGGCTATTAGTGAAGTAAAGATGCTAAAAACTCCCTATGTTTTAAAAGATATTCTCCTAATCAAATAGAAAAAAATTGGTTAGATAAATATACACTCCATCAACTATTCATTCAATAAATTTTCACTGAGGAGGTCCCAGGTAGAAATTCTAGTGCTGATTTTGCCAACATGTGGCTCTGGGTCCTTGAACAAGTTGCTTAACCTCTCTGGGACCTCTGTCTCTCCTGTAAATTGAGAGTTTTGTGCAGGATTTGTGGTTCTGGATTTCTTATGAGACTCCAAATTGAATTAAAGTGTAAATCCTCTCTCTAAAAATATTTGCATTTCATTCCAGGAGGTTCATGGTTTCCCTGAAATCTAGTTAGGTTAAGACTTTCTATACTAGATGAATCCTGGGGTTCCTTCCAATTCCAGTTTCATACTCTGTGCTATAACCTGTATTTGATATTTAGGTTATAACATACAAAATTGCTATTTTTATAAAATTAAAATTATTAAATATCAGCAATTTCACACAATTCTTCTAATACAAGAAAGGGGACTATAAAGCAATCCCAGGATTCAAATTGATCATTGTTTGAGGACAACCTGCCTGTGCAAGAAGAAAATAACTAACTGGAGCAGTGTACGGTACATGCCAATTAAAGAGCACAGCCAGGGGGAACCCCAAGACTTCAGAGGCACATGGGGTCAGCATGGGGTCAGAGGAGCGCTCTGCACTGAAGATGGGAATTCAAGCAGACTTCAGAGAGGGTAGGACCCAGAGAGACAGAAGGAAAGAGGAAGTGCACTTAGGGTGAGGGTGCAAGAAGTAATGATGAGGTCAGAACTAGGGACCAAAGGTGTAACACAATCTTTCTCTTAACATGGATGGCATTTGCTCTCCCTCCATAGGTTGACCTTTGCAACTATGTCTCCGTCAATGGAGCCACAGCTCACCCCCACATTGAAAGTGATGGCACTGTGTACAACATTGGTAACTGCTTCGGGAAAAATTTCTCAATTGCCTACAATATTGTAAAGATCCCTCCACTACAAGCAGGTCAGTTTACCAATTTGATTCCTCTTGAAACAAGTATCTATCTTGTATGAAAGTTACTGGAAATACTGGATGCCAGATCAAAATGTCAGAATAGCACAATATGCAGTTAAATTACTCTCTGATTTCAGGACAACTGCCCTCACCCCTACCCTACCAATGGCCAAGGGCACAATAGCAGGGAATGACAACTTGAAAATACAGAAAGCAAATGGCCAAGTTCTATTTCTGCACTGTGTCAAAGATGTAGTGTATATGCAGACTTGGTTACATAAGATTTGGAATCAAGTGTAACAAACATTTATTAGGCATTTATTCATGTGCCAACTGAAATTAAATTTTTATTCAAACGTATGCATCTGCATAACATACACCCATTTATGAGAATGTACTATTTTGTGTATGTTTAACTCACAAGACTACAAACAAACCTATTGACTCATATTAATATAATAGCTAAAGAATATTAAAAGAGAAGAGAGAGTACTCTTTAGAATTTTCTATTCATCTTCCATTCATTGTCAGAAATTTGATAACCATCTTGATGACAGAATTATTTGAATATATATGGATTTTTGTTTAGTATTGCTTAGATAGTTCTCAAAGTGTAATCCCACCAGCAGCAGCACCTGGGAACCTGTTAGAAATATGAATCTTGAGTCTCACTCAAACCAACTGAATAATTCTGGGAGTGGGGCCCCAATAACATTTTTAAGAAGTCCTTTATAGGATTTTGATATACAGTAAGGTTTTGAAGACTACTCAGTAGTAAGTGAACTTTAATGTGCATAATAATTACTGTGCCAGGCTATTGACACAATCCAAGATATTCTTTACTCCATAGGCCAGTGGTTCTCAACCTGAGGGTCGAGACCCCTTTGGGGGTCGAATGACCCTTTCACAGGGGTCGCCTAAGACCATCGAAAAACACATATATAATTACATATTGTTTTTGTGATTAATCACTATGCTTTAATTATGTTCAATTTGTAACAATGAAATTGGGGGTCACCACAACATGAGGAACTGTATTAAAGGGTCGCGGCATTAGGAAGGTTGAGAACCACTGCCGTAGGCAGTATTGTGAAAGGCTGTGACCATGCTAACGTTGTGGTAAGTCCCCTGACTTAGAACCCACCTCCAGGTGTAAGATGTGACTACACTGTGCTCTGCCTGCCACACTGTGGAAGTGCACTTTCCCAAATCCGCTGCTATTTGGATTTTCCTGAGCGATTGCAGCTTCACATGAAATTTCTCTAAGAAATGCCAATGACTAAGGAAATGAACATAAGCTCTGAAAAATCAAGATCTTAAAATGTATTTCTTTACTTGCATAAGATGTTCTACGTGCTTTGTATTTTTAAACAAGAAAAAAGAAAGGCTGGCTGTTCCAAAGCCTTTTAAAACCACTTTATTTCAGACAAGGAAGATCCAATAAGCAAGTCAGAAGTCGTTGTACAATTCCCCTGCAGTGAACGATTCAAGCCATCTTACGTCCATAGGTAACTTAAAGGGCTGCTCTGGATCTTCAGGAAAACTTAATTTTAAATATCTGCTTTGCCTATCTTTTATACCAATCCTGATTACATTATCTTGAAGAAACCTAAATTTAAACATAATTAATGTCACATAGCTACTGTCTATTCCAGTAACTGAGCACACTCATGTATACACATTTCTTTGTGGTTTGAGAATATGTCTGTCCCACTCACAAGTCCATTTGTGTTTCTGAACAGTTTTGGCTTGACTCCCAACTACATTGTTTTTGTGGAGACACCAGTCAAAATTAACCTGTTCAAGTTCCTCTCTTCATGGAGTCTTTGGGGAGCCAACTACATGGATTGTTTTGAGTCCAATGAAACCATGGGAGTAAGTCTTACATTTATTTGTCAGGTTTATGATGCTGAAGAAGGTGTGCTTCATAATGTACTCTTTTTTCCTTATTAAATGCATCAAAATATTTTTCTCATGTTCAAGGTTTGGCTTCATGTCGCTGACAAAAAAAGAAGAAAGTATCTCAGTAACAAATACAGGACCTCTCCTTTTAACCTTTTCCACCACATCAATACCTATGAAGACAATGAGTTTCTGATTGTGGATCTCTGTTGTTGGAAAGGGTAAGAAAGGACAGTGGATAAATGTTACATCTCTAGTTACTCCTGGAAATTAGGGGCCTTTTTCTTTTTTTTTTTTTTTTATCAAAGATGCTTCTCTTAATGGTTAACCTAAATTACATTCTAAAAAGTAAGAAGTATGCTTTAAGTTTCAAGACATCATTGAAAAAAGCTTTAGATAGTTTAGGTAACCAGAAACACAAACTGAACATTAAAACCATGGTTACTGATTTAAAACGCATCAGGTCCATGAACCAGACCTGAAAAGATAAGGCTCTGTGAACTGATATGTGAACTTAAACTCAACTTCACTTAAACTTGACAAGATTCCTTAAGGGACCTTGAACTCCACCTATCCTGGGTTTGGGAGAAAGAGGCACTCTTTCTTCAAATTAGCCAGATCACTAAAGACAGTAGTGCCTAAAGTCACAGACAGATGGGAATTGAGAAGCAGAACAGAAAGTGTCAAGCTGATGTTATTTAAGTATATCCAGGAGGCAGGTTTCTTTTTTACCCCATCTTGTGTGGGCAGAAAAAAAAATGGCTTTAATATACCTGGGTCACTAGCAGTATCCAGGTTGGGAAATAAAGAACAGGCAGGCTTTTAAATAGATTGAATGTCTCTCTGAAATTATTTGTAATTATGTGTGCTCATGTTTGACTCCTTATCTTGGCAGGTTTGAATTTGTTTATAATTACTTATACTTAGCCAATTTACGTGAGAACTGGGAAGAAGTGAAGAAAAACGCCAGCAAGGCTCCCCAGCCTGAAGTTAGAAGATATGTACTTCCTTTGAATATTGACAAGGTAACTATCCTCTACATAGATTTCAGATAGAACCAGAATATTACACAAAATCCATTCCTCTATTTGCTCCTTATCTCTCATCCCCTTCCCTATCCTGAAAATCCTCCACCATTTCCTCTTAATTCATAATATATCACCATCCTCTTCTCAAATGTTCCCTCCACCTTCTATCTTTAGAAAAATCTGATTCCCAAAAACCTTGTTCTCATCAGCAGCAATTTCCAGGGGAGGTGGTTTCTCCTACAACCCTTGCACCATGAGGTCTGAAATTGGGGTAAGGGGTCCCCTTTGTTCCACTTTGTTGCTTTCAAACCATTGTTTCTTCCATCTACCCTTAAAATCTCCCAATTTTTAAAAAAATACGTTTTTATTGATTTCAGAGAGGGAGAAATAGGGGGAGAAATACAGAAACTATCAATAATGAGAGGGAATAATTGATCATCTGCCTCCTGCATGCCCCCTACCAGGGAATCAAACTGGGACCTCTGGTTCACAGGTCCATGCTCAAACTCTGAGCCACACTGGCCAGGCTAAAATATCCTCTTTTTAAATTTCATTTTAGCTCATTATGTGGCCAAGTGGTATGTGTGTTGTGTATATATATGTATTTCTCATTATTGTTGTCATCTACTAACCACCACTCTCTCTCCCTTCTGATTTAATGTCACACTTCCCAGATCTACAGATCTACTCCTGACTCTCAGGAATTTCAAGATACACATCAGAAGTGATTCCTCCAACAATCTAGCCTTTCAGTTCCTTGACCTCTTCCATAGATCCTGTCTTCTATTCTGTCTCAGCCACTTGTTCTTATGGCTTTGACATTGGCATTACCTATGACTTCTGCGTGCTTCATCCATAATCTTAAATTCATGCGTGGCACATTCTGACTACCACCTCTTTCAAAATCACCTGTTCTACTGCAATTCTCACCAGGAACCTTCAATCTCCTACCTTCTTATAATCCTTAACTCCCTTGAGGACTTATCCTTATGCTAAGTGAAGTAAGCCAGTCAGAGAAAGACAAGTATTCTCATTCAATTAATATTCCATGGTCAGTAATTATAAGCATCCTCTTGTATAGATCATTATTTCTTGTGTCTCTTTCTTATTTTATCAAACTCATTTGTCAGAACCACAACCCTAGTTAACGTGTTAAATTAAACACCCCACCCACTCCGTGCTTATGCCTCTGAGGCTGAAATTAAGTGTTGAAAACACACAATCGTGTTAATTGGCTCGTTTTAAAATACATGACCACAAATCTTACCACAACATTTCCCAACTTCATTTACTCTCCCACTTTCATAGTTAAATATTTCACACCCTCCGCGCTTCAAACTTCTAACACCTCCCACCTTCACACTCATACTCAGCTGATGGCTCTGCTTCCTATTTCACTGAAATGAGTGAAGGAAATCAGAAAAGAACGTAGACTTCTGCCACCACATCTATCCACCCACCAGCATCTGTAACTCATACTGAAGTTATCCATCATCTTATCCAGAACTAGTTGTTCCCATCCTCCCTCACCCACTCAAGGACATCACTCCCCCTCTTTCCTATAGCATCACTCTTCTCCCCTCTTCATTGGATCACTCTATCATGCTATTATTTTTCCCTCTTACAAAATCTTTCTCTTGACTTCTCTTGCCCCCACCAGCTATTCCCTCATTTCTCTTCTTGTAGACCTCTTAATGTTGGAGGGCATCAGAACTCAGCCTTCTGTTCTACCTTTTATTTGTACATTCACTCCCTTTGTAAAGACTCATGCTTTAAAGCAGCCCAAAATTATTTTTTTAACTTTCCTTTCAACTCAACTTTCCTTTCAACTCATATATGCTACTGCCAACTCCATGCTTCCATTTGAATGTCCAACAGACATAGCAAACTTAACAGGATAAAGCCTACATTTCTCCTCTTCCCCACCAAAAAATTCACCCCACCTTCAGAAGCCCAATCTCTTTTGTGACAACCTTTAATTGTTCAGGCCAAATATGTTGGAGTCATGCTATTAATTTCATGTCTCTTCCACCCCATATCTACACTAATAAAAGAGAAACATGGTAATTGGCGTACGACCGCTACCCTTTTCATTGACTAATCAGCGAGATATGCAAATTAACTGTCAGCAAAGATGGCGGCCGGCAGCCAGGCAGCTTGAAACTAACATGAGGCTTGCTTGCCTCAGTGACGGAGGAAACCAACGTTCCCTGCCTGAGGCTGCAGGCCTCTGAGCGGGCAGTTTAAGAAACATTGTGACAAATACCGCTGGACTTCAGCCAGCAGATTCGCAACATTGTAAGCAAAGGCCAGAAACCTACTTTCAGCTGCGGGAGGCCTAAGAGCTGGAGCCAAGCCTCAAGGTAAAGCTGGCCCAGAATAAAAAAGAAAAAGAAAAAAAGGAGCAGTTGGGAACTTCAGTCACTCCCAGCCTGAAAACAACCCTCAGCCCCTCACCCAGACTGGCCAGGCACCCCAGTGGGGACCCCCACCCTGATCCAGGACACCCTTCAGGGCAAACCAGCCGGTCCCACCCATGCACCAGGCCTCTACCCTATATAGTAAAAGGGTAATATGCCTCCCAACACCGGGATCAGCGTGACAGGAGGCAGCGCCCAAACCCCCTGATTGCCCTGCGGCTCTGTGTGTGACAGGGGGCGGGGCCCCAACCCCCTGAGCAGCCCTGCTCTGTGCCTGATAGGGGGGAGCTCCCCAAACCCCCTCCCCCCACGGGCCCTGCTCTGTGTGTGACGGGGTAGAGCCATAACCTCCCCATCGGCCCTGCCCTGAGTGTGAGAGTGGCGGCACCCCAATCCCCTGATCGGCCCTGCTCTGTGGGTGATAGAGGGCAGTGCCCCAACCCCCTGATGGGCTCTGCTCTGTGCATGACAGGGGGCAGTGCCCCAACCCCCAGATTGGCCCTGCTCTGTGCGTGACGGGGGTGGCGCCACAACCTCCCCATCGACCCTGCCTTGAGTGTGACAGGGGACGGTGCCCCAACCCCCCAATTGGCCCTACCCTGAGCGTGACTGAGGGTGGCATCACAACCTCCCAATCTGCCCTGCTCTGTGCATGACAGGGGGCGGCACCCCAACTCCCCAATCGGCCCTGCTCTGAGCCCGACCAGGGCCTGCACCTAGGGATTGGGCCTGCCCTCTGCCACCCGGGAGCAGGCCTAAGCCAGCAGGTCGTTATCTCCCGAGGGGTCCCAGACTGCGAGGGGGCACAGGCCGGGCTGAGGGACCCCCCTTCCCCCCGAGTGCACAAATTTTTGTGCACCGGGCCTCTAGTCCTATATATTAGGAAATCCTCTCGGCTCAATTTTCCATTTCTCACTGACTCCAGTGTTACTAGCCTAGCTTGAACCATTGTTTTCTTTTGACCAGACTACTACAAAACAAACTGGTTTCCCTGAGTCCACTCTTGCAGCCCCCCTCCTCCCAAGTCTCAACAGAACAGCCAGATGACTGCTAACTTCCTCACCTCCTACCAGTTTTGTCTCAAATGTCACCTTTTCAATGAGGCCCACCCTGACTACCTATTAAAATTGCAACTCACCTGCCTTTCACACTTCTGATTCCCCCTTACTCTGCTCTATTTTTTTCTCCCCATATTTATGACATATTATACACTTGTCTATTAATTATATTTATTGTCTATGTCCCCAAACTGGAATGTAAGCTTCATGAGGACAGGGACTTAATTCTCTGAAATATCCCGAATGCCTAGAATAGAGCCTAGCACAATACATGTACTCAAGCATTTGATACAGATATTACTAAATGAATATATTCTTAGAAAGGGCTTGTGGTATCCATTCCTTTCATAAATATCATATGCATTGGGGGTTGGGGAATGAAAAAAAATCTTAGAAAACATCTGGTCTAGTAGTTTTCCTATTTTCTTCTTTTTAACAAAATCAAAATATGCCCTAACTATAAATGAGATGAACACTGTAAGTGGATCCCTAAGAGGTGACGTCTTTGTCGTTCTGCAGAGAAATACTTGCTTATTTTTTTTCCAGAGGCCCCTCCTCAGAGGCCTTTTTATTTGAGAACAGTCTCATTTCACAGTTGAGAAGATTGAAGACCTAAGAGGTCATGTGGCTTTCCCATTGACACAGGCCCAGACAGCTTTCTCAGTCATGTTCCTGGGCTCTGCTTCCAGAGTTTCTGCACTGTTCCTCCCTACATGTTAACTTAAGTAAAGAGCTCAGGAGACAAAACTCAGGAAGACTCCTTCCTTGATTTATGGCTCCTTGGTTTTTCTTTCTTGCTTGCTGAGATTTCTGTTATCCTCTCTCTTAGGCTGACACAGGCAAGAATTTAGTTACACTCCCCAACACCACTGCCACTGCAATTCTGTGCAGTGATGAGACCATCTGGCTGGAACCTGAGGTTCTCTTTGCAGGGCCTCGTCAAGGTGAGATAATGTAGAAGAAAACCTCACATGAGAGGGAACAAATGTTCATTTCAAAGAGATTAACTGGGTTTTCTTAAGCATGTGCTCTATTTTGTAGCGTTTGAGTTTCCTCAAATCAATTACCAGAAGTATGGTGGGAAACCTTATACTTACACATATGGACTTGGCTTGAACCACTTTGTTCCAGACAGGGTAATGAATCCATCTTACTGGTATTAGAGCAGTACTTTAAGTCACATGCTAGTCAAGTAAAGCATACTGACTGATTGGTTTTTTCTTTCTTAACGAACAGCTTTGTAAGTTGAATGTCAAAACTAAAGAAACTTGGGTATGGCAAGAGCCTGATTCCTATCCATCAGAACCCATCTTTGTTTCTCACCCAGAGGCCTTGGAGGAAGATGATGGTAATGAAAGCATTGGATGTGTCTGAACATTCTCTTCTTACTGGAGTTCATGTAGTTAGTTCACTAAGAGGGGAGTCATAGTAATTTTTCCCTAATGTTCAGAAATGATCCTTAATACTACTGAATGCAAACGTCTTTGAAAATAAGTGTAATCTTGTGGTCAGTTTGCCTTGATTACTACTGGAAAAAATGCTAAGGCACCATCTGGTGTCATGATGGACACCAATACTGTTCTAGATGAGGGAGTGGGGGGGAGGAACGAGCAGCATGAATTCTAGGCTTTTGCCTTTCTTGACCTACATACATTTATAGGGGAAAAAAGAAGTTCTGAGAAAGGAAATTGAGTATTCTACCAGATCAAAGAGAATGAGACTGTGGCTTTGTGGCTCTAGTTTTGTTTATTTCTTTTAGTAAGCTGGGGCTAGAAAGAGACCAGATATACAGCCTATAAAACAGCAACTCAACTACAAACATCAGTCTGAGTTAACTATTAGTTACCTGGGATGAAATTATGGAAAACCACAGAGAAATGAAAAAATAAAGAGCTGTGGAGCCATTTCATGTGAAATGAGTTTACACAGACAGTCCATCCAGTCAAAACTGCAAAAGGTTTGCTTTCCTTCTGTTTTAAGGAGATAAGTTTTCCGCTAGGTCTTGGAAATTATAGAAATAATATACGTTACTGTTGTCAAAGTCTTTTAGTACACATTTCTCTTTTGTCGCAACACTTTTTTTGTAGTAGGTAGAACAGATGGTATATCTTATGTTACAGATAAGAATACAGATCAATTCATTCAATAAAAATTTAATGAACACTTCCTACGATCTAATCATTGTAGCAGGCTATCAGGATATGACAGTAGGCAAGGCAGATATGGTTACTCCCTTCCTAGAGTTTATAATCTAGGAAACATGAGGAGTTTAAAAGGCCCCTTCAGGGTGGACACATAGTGAGGTGGTGGAAGAGTCAAAACAAAATATTGTCATTTTCTTTCTTTTTTAAAAAATATGTTTTTAATGATTTCAGAGAGAGAGAGGAAGGGAGAGAGAGAGAAAGGGATAGAAACATCAATGATGAGAGAGAATCATTGATTGGCTGCCTCTTCCACACATGTGCCCTGACTGGGAATTGAACCATGACCTCCTGGTTCATAGGTTGATGCTCAACCACTGACCCACACCGGCCAGTGTGCTCAGCCAGCTCAGCCAAGGGTTTGAAAGCCTGAGTGAGGGAGGTGAAGGGATGAAGAAATGACAAAGAGAATAAGCTGGGTCTAGGTGGATCTTCCTGTGCCTGGCTGAGGCCACAGAGAGAGATCCAGAGGCAAGCTGAGCCTTTATTTTATAGCCACAGGTAAACAAGGTAGTGGTCACCATAGTTACAATGTTCTTGTGAGTTTCACTTGTTTTGGAAGCACTTGCTGCATCTCCCTCAGCCCATTAGCTACCCAGATAAGATCTAGGGAGCATCATAAGGTCAAGCTTAATTATGCTAATAGGACTGTGCCCTCTAAGCTGGGACTTGTTTGTGGCTTTGCCAACAGGTCAGTCCAAGGTTTAACCCTATAGCCACGCCCTACAGGCCAGGCTGTCATTTTCTTTTTATATGTCAATGTAATACGACCAATATTATTTCAGTTACATTTAATCTATGTCCCTGGGCATTTTTTACAAATTCAACATTACTTTATTTACTTCTGATTAACAGGTGTAGTTCTGAGTGTGGTGGTAAGCCCTGGAACAGGACAAAAGCCTGCTTATCTCCTGATTCTGAACGCCAAGGACTTGAGTGAAGTTGCCAGGGCTGAAGTGGAGATTAACATCCCTGTCACCTTTCATGGACTGTTCAAAAAATCCTGAACACATTCTACCAAGATATGTTTCTGATGAAAAAAAACAAGAAAAATATAGTCAGGTCTGCAATCAAATTCTGTTCAGTTTCAGCCGGCTGTATTAGATGGTTTTAACTTGCAGACACACACTATTTTGCAATGTTTTCCAGAAAGAACAGAGTTGAGCAAGCAATTACTTCTAAAATCAAGTCTATATTTAGAAAATAAGAATTTCTATGTGAGACAGATCATAACTAAAAATCTCTTTATATAGTTAGCAATCAAATATAAAATGAATGTGGATTTATTAACCTGTTTTTTATTCCTATTATAAAAGTGTATTTTATGCATCTATCTGCTCCAATATATTTTAACATTTAAAAGCCAAAGTGTTCTACACCTGATTGCAGCTCTGCTGAGTCAAGGTGGTATTGTGCAAAAAGGCTTCATTATTAAATGGCAAACCAAACTCTTTCAAACCAGGGACAATCATTTAAGAGTAATCATTGTAATTGCATATATGTTATTGCTAAAAGATTTTCAAGCTTTATGAACTTTAACATTTCTGCTTAATATAGGCAATTACTACTATTTCTGTTGTGTTTTTTTTAATGAGGAAACCTATCTTTAATCAACAGAGGGCATGCCACCAAATAATATGTTAGAGATTATCTATTAAAAGCTTATATAACAACAAAACAATCATATATAGTATTGATTGTACTAGTAATTTTTTGAAAAACAAAGCATAAAATAAAATTTCTACTTAAAATCAAAGTGTGGGATACTGTTGGAGGGTTATATAATTTGTTGTCTCTTCTCCTTAATTATATTTAAGCACTTTGCAATCACCTGACTGAAAAGAAAGAGAGAGAAAATATTAAATGATTAGCATTCAGATAGTAATATATTTTAAGCACTTTTGTTGTTGCTTTTATTATTATTCTCCTCTGTGCTACATATTGAAAAAAGGAGATTGACAAAAGATTTTATTCTATATCTTTATTAAGGTGTCTATTTGTGCTCAGAAGTATTACATATCATTGTATTAATATGATCAGCATTGTGTTTGACTAAAAATAGTTTGAAGAAACAGACTGACCATAGTACTTGATGCATCCATCTGATTTCTTTGATTACATAAAATATAACAAACTCATGTTTCGATTTACAAATACTCATTTACTTTTCAAAGATAATCTAAAACTACAGAAAAGTGGAAATTATAAAGTAAAGTCATACAGAGCTCATCTAAGTTCAACTACTATTAAGATATGGATATTTGTCTTTTCCATCATTCCTTCCTCACCTGCCCCATGGATTTTAATGTAATCATTATTTATTTGTGGATAATTCCTAAATAGAACTAGAAATCTCAAGATAGAGAAACAACGATGCTGAGAATAACATGGAATATGTGACTGTACATAAACATTAGTCCATTGTTTTTTTTATCTCTAGGCATGGAACGTGAACATAATTCCATAAAGAAAGCTAGTTATCTATTTCTTTTAAAAATGCAGAAAATTACTGAACAAGTACTAAGTTTTAGACTTAGTAAAGAGTCCAAATTTAAGAGAATTCCCCAAATATCTACTTCCTACCCTTGCCAATCCCTCATTGCCTACTTTCCATTTATTTTCCATGAGTAAGTCTTGCCATTTGGTGTGCCTCACCTCCCGTTGCAGGATCCCATTCTGAGCACTGAGCTCTATAGATCAATACGGTGTTAAGAAGAGAGAGAGGCAGATCTTACTAAAATAACATTCTACCAATACCATTATACCAAGATTGACACACTCTGTACAATCATTGCTAAGATTATACCAAGAAGGCTGAAGAGCTGCTTTTCAAGTTCAAGAATGGAATGTGAGATTAAGAAACTTAAATTAAAACCAGGGAGATTTGAGTCAGGCAAGAAGGAGTAACTCATTTTGAAAAAAATTCTTATTGAAAAAATTAAGGAACCTGTTTTCTAAGAACTAGAGCTACCCAATTGGGGAATCTACAAAACTGTGCACCATCTATAAACAAATAAATCTGTTTTAAGAAAAGAATTCAATTGTATTAAAACAAATACAACTGTTAATAAGTACTTATTTTTAAAGTAAGTTGATTGGCCCAGCTAGTGTAGCTCAATGGTTGAGCATCTCATAAAATTCAGTCTCATTGGAAAAACAATCTCTAAAGCACAGGAAGAAAGAAAACTCACATTTATCGAGTGTCCTTTACTTTTACAGAAAAGTGGAAATTATATCTAATATTACACCTGTCATGATACTGTTTGCGCCATTTTGAAGATGAGGAAAGGGAGACCACATTACTTTTCTAGTGAGTAGTAAAACTCAAACTGAAATCTAAACCTAATAGTTCCTCCACTTAAATTTTGGTTTCTGATAACTTCTGAAATATTCTGAATAACTTAAACTTTTATTTCAAATACAACCACTGTCATGCAACTTAGTTATCAAGTTTGAGTGCAAATAAAATCTTCAACTACTCAGTAACTCTTACTATTAATTAGTAGGCCAAAATGTTTCTTGAATAATACTGACCATGTGCCAAGTTTTTATTATGCAAGTGATTCCACTAATTAGTTCCTACAATATTCTGTGTGTAGAGTTGATTATCCTATTTTGCAGGTGAGGAAAATGATAATGTTAAATGACAGCCAAGTTTACATGAGAATAGGGGTCAGATTCCAAATGCCATTTGTATCTATTGGACACTGTGAACTACTACTTTGAGGTAGTTCACAATTTCAGCATTAGATCACTACATTCCTTTCCATGACATCTTAAAAAGCTAAGTTTTACCAGTTGTTGTTAAAATGCAAGTACCATGCAAAAATTAATGTAGAACACAAAATGATAATGACTGTGTCCAATCCGATTCCAACATTTAAAAAGTTCTGTAATGTCCAAAGACACTGGGCTGTTAGAACAAAGATATGTATTATGCCATTTGGATTTAACTATGTAATGAGCAGAATGTTAGGTATTTCTTTTGGAGTGCCATAAAAAAGTTACTGAGACACTAAGAGCTTTGAGAAGCCAGAACATTTGAAAACCTCTATGCAAAACTGGGTTTTAACTTAGTAATTAAAGCTAACCTCATAGGACCTAGTCTAGAGTTTTGTGATTTAATAGCATCATAAATGTATCTTTAGAGAGCAAATAATTATATTTCAATTCTTATATTAAAGTTACATGAAAGAGCTTTACTTAAGAAAAAGAAAAAAGATGGAGGAATCATATCGAATATATCGGTGATTAGTCTGTTTATGAATATTTCTTATTTGAATATATTCATAATATTATACTAGTTGAATAATAAAATATATTTAAGAGGCTAGCAACACAAATCTCAAAATTCACTGTTTCTCAAGTTCCTTTAACATGGATTTAGCCATAGACATATCTCCTTCCAGAAGGTAAGCAAATGGGTAGTTTTCATTTATAAGAACAACCTTTTCTGTTGGGCCCTAGCAATAAAAATCCAATTTCTGATTGATGGGGGCAACTGAAAAATTCAGCAATGGTAGGCTGACTCAGTGATCAGCAAGTGGGACTGTGCTACAAGAACAATGGGTGACCTATGACTAGGCATTTATGAAAGTCCTAGTTCTAGTCCAGGCTTGTAGAACAAAAGCTTTGGGTTACTTATCAATAGAAATCATCAGCACAGAGAGAATGTTCATCCCTCAGGCAGTTTCTAAGTCCAAGGAGCAGAGCCGTGCTCTGTCAGCTGCCTTGCAGTTCATACTACAAAAAGTATATATTAGACCACAGATCATGATATTAATGTTCTTATAAGTCTTCATGACCTAGTTGGAAAAGGCCATTGAGGAAACTGGCTTTTATTAATGTCTATATCTGCTACTACCTATTGATCTTGTGTCTCCCTTCAAATTAGGCAGCAGAGTGTAAAAGAGTCAGAGTCAGAAGCCCCGTGTTCTAGCACTATTTTCCTGCTTATAAGCTATGTAACTGGAAATGAGCCACTCACACAAAATATTCTGCTCTGAAGTTTTCCCACGAAGTTGGCAGAATTATATCTGTCCTATTAGCCCTCCGAGAACATTGTAGGGCATGTGAGACAACACAAATAAACATCGATAAACACTGTGGGTAACCTGAGGAGAAGGATTCAAATGTAAGGCACTGATTTAAATAATGTGATTATTAGTTTAGAGACTAATAAATGAATCAATTAGCAGTGAAGTTTAAAAATAAGAAACACAGTATACAAACTAAAGGCAAATAAAAAAAAGAAGAAGAAGAAGAAGAAAAGTGACGTTTACTCCTTAAAAGCAGCTTTTTGTCATCCACACAGGTTGCTTGGGAAACCACTGCAAGTGAATTACAAATCTTTTGACTGCCAAATCTGCTCACAACCAACCCATACTCTCTCTCTCTCTCTCTCTCTCTCTCTCTCTCTCTCTCTCTCTCACACACACACACACACACACACACACACACACACACCCCTCACATTGTTTCCCTAACACATACTCATTTCACAAAATGTTCCTAGGTGTAGTCCCATATTGGTTTTGAATGGGAAATTAAAAGGTTGAGGGGTCTGTTGGGAAAAAGAAAGAACAAACAGGATCATAGAATTATATAAAGTCACCCTATTTACTATAGTCAAAAAGAAAGGTTTATTTAATTGCAGTAACAGTGGCCACAAGGAAACACAAATTCCTACAACATGACCAACAATACAAATTCATTGTGCACCCTTAGAACAAAGGGTCCTCCACGGAAGTATTTGTTTAGAAGCCATCACGAAAATGGAAGCTCTCCAATATACCCAGATCACTCGCCAACTGAAAAGAGCTTTTGTTCCATCAACTCTTCCAGTCAGCTAATATTTATTGAGCAACCACTGTGTTCCAAGTACTGTCTGGACCAGTAGAACCTTCTGTGATGATGGAATGTTCTACACTGTATTGTCCAATACTGTAAGTACTACCCACACGGGCCTATTAAGTGCTTTAAGTGTGGCTAGCGTAACTGAGGAACTGAGGTTTTCATTGCTTTTTTATAAGCAAGGCAATCCAGTCTCAACGCACATATTACCTGCTTTCACCAGTATCTCCTCTCCCTACCCCCACCCTTTCTTCTCAAGGATCAAAGCACAGCCCCAACATCACTCTCTTTGCTGGAGACTTAATCCTGTT